ATTACTTGTAAGAAATGACATATAAATTTCTGTAAAAATGACATAAAAGTGTAAATTAAAATACCTGTGTTGGTGATGAATCTGTCTAGGTCAGTTGCTTCCTCATAGATTACTTTTGGTGTAACTATGCCTAAAAAGATACATAAATTAACTTCCACAGGACTACGTGGCCTAACATGATCACGTTTACTTACTCAAAGGAGTTTATCAGCAAATATGGTAACGGCGCTTGCCCTGTGTGCCAACTACAAAACTCTTCCCACTGTCTAAACACCGACAGATGGGAATCCCACTGCTTTTAGCATCTGACTATAATTGAGGAGGAGAATTCCAAAAGTCAGTGATGATAATCTGGTGTGTCACTATCACGTAAGAAAAAATATGCAGTACACTGCAGGTGGGAATGTAAAATGTTATAGCCACTGTAGAAAATCGTTTGGTGGTTCCACCAAAAGTCATATTATCATATGACATGACAATTCTAAGTATATACCCAAGAGAAATGAAAACATATGTTCACACAAAAACTTGTACACAAGGGTTCACAGCAGCATTATTCATAACACTCAAAAAGTAGAAACAACCCCAAGTCCATCAATTAATGAATGGATAAACAAAATGTAGTATATCCATACAATGGAATGTTATTCGACCATAAAAGAATGTTTTTGGGGGGGACCGGTAAGGGGATCGTACCCCTTGGCGTGGTGTCGCCTGCACCGCGCTCAGCCAGTGAGCACACCGGCCATTCCCATATAGAATCTGAACCCGCTGCCTCGGCGCTCCCAGCACCGCACTCTCCCGAGAGAGCCACGGGGTCGGCCCAAGAATGAAGTTCTGACACACACTACAACCTGAATGAACCCTGAAAGCATCATGCTAAGTGAAAGAAGCCAGACACAAAAGCCCATATGCTATATGATGTCTAGAATAGGTAAATCTACAGAGACCAAAAACAGATTGTTGGCTGGTTGCTAGGGGGAGGGGGGAGGGGACAATGGGGAGTGATTGTTTAATGGGTACAGGTTTCCTTTTTGGGTGATGAAAATGTTTTGGGACTAAATACACATGATGGTGATACAACATTGTGAATGTACTAAATGTCACTGAATTGTACACTTTAAAATGGTTAATTTTATGTTATTTGAATTTTACCTCAAAGAAAGAATATGCAGGGTGCTATCTTACGGAACTGAGCTTTTTCCAAAGAAAACAGCTTCCTCAATTAGTAGTTGAAATATTATTTTAGTTGGTCCAGTAGAAGTGATTTATAGTCTCATGAGATCATAGTTTATCCTAACACTCAGGTATGTGTTCTGTTTTCAAACAAATGTAACATACCTCCTATGGCACCATTCTTTACCTTCACGTTGATCACAGAATCCCGTTCTTGGTATACTTCCAAATTAGTAATGCATTTAACATCGAAATTCTGAAGGAATGCCACTGGGGCATTCTGCATACACTGCCCAGCGAGGGACACCTTGAGGGTAAGGGAAAAACCCAGCGGATTTACGGCTTCTCTTCCAATCATAAAAAAATAGATCAACATTTCTTAAAATTATTCTTTCTGCAGCCTGCTCTTATTGCTAGTTTAGTTTCAACAATGGCTAGTTCACTGACGAGTGGACCAACTTAGGAAAACAACTGATTTGCTAATCAAGGTCTGGAAGTCACTGGTTGAGGAGCCCCAATAAATATTATTTAATAAAAACAAAGAAAACACCTTGCCCTGTTCCATTTACTGTATAGAGACAGGAGAGACATGATTATATTCAACTTCATTTTCTCTCCCTCATCACAACCAGATTTTTTAAATACTATAAAAATGTATTCACATGAATAGTGAAGAGAAATGGTTTAGCCTCCCATGCTTTCTTCCCACAAGTATTTTTTTCTCATAATGATGAACTTAAAAAAAATAAAGATTTCAGGCCAGCCCGTGGCTCACTCGGGAGAGCGTGGTGCTGACAACACCAAATCAAGGGTTAAGATCCCCTTACCAGACATCTTTTTTAAAAAAATAAATAAATAAAGATCTCACCCATACCAGCCAGCCACCAAAAAATAAAAAATAAAGATTCCCAGGTCTCCTTTAAATTCATCTAAGCCCTGATTTTTTTTTAGATTTCATATAAAATTCTATAGCCTTAAAATATTTTTGAAATTCTGAAATGTTATATAAAATGATATATTTATAGCTTACTAGAAATTGGCTATTAAACTAACAGAAGTGAAGAATTATAGTTACTTCCATGGAAATTTATAGAAATCTTTTGGTTTTATTTTGTAAGTTCACTCTGAGATTTAGCAAAGGCTGTGATTAATTCAAGAGTGACTACTTTTTTAAAAATCCAGAGACTATTAACAGGTAAGACTCTGGAAAGTCTGTAAGAGAAAAATAAGTAACTTTGGGAGAGATGTTAAAGAGAAATATGAGTTAAATTAACAATAGGATGGGAAAAATAAGAGAAGGGCCGAGCATATTAAAATAGAAATTATTACCTGTGGAATAGTAAAATATGCCTTGTCTACAGTCATAATTGGATCTCCTTGTTTGTAACCAAAGTCTGAAAAGTCTTTTAGATCAGTATGCAAATGAACTTCAAAGGAAGAGTCGTGTCTAGGGGAACTGTAAATCATTAAGAAAGATTATCACTGACACTTTCAGCTATCATCTGCTAAAACACAATTCTTCCTGTAAGTTTTTATTTACTGTTAAATTACAAAAATCACAGATAGTTGTAAATTTGCAACTATATGGAACTGTAACATACAGAAAGTTAAAGTTTCCTACAATTCCTTCTCCACCCTAGAAAATTACTATGAACTGTTTGGGTATCAGTCAATTTCTCCAATGAGGCCCAATTCTTTCAAATACTTAATGTACAACAGACATTCTCAATGAAATCTAGAACTGAATTGTTTAAGCCTGGAACCTCTGGAGAGGTGTTGAGCAAGCATGACCCTCTGGACACGGACCTCACCAGCACCAGCAAAGGACGCCCTCTCCCAGGAGTTGTGCAGACACTTACACGGAGCCGTGATAGAAGTAACCGAGGAAGGGCGAGTTGGCAAGGGGCGACTGCACACACAGGAAAGGAAACCAGTCAGGGACATGGTGTGGGGTCCCAGAAGAGCAGAGCTGATCAAACAGAGGATTGACGTCTCCTCCAAAAACGCCAGTGAAACAGGACTGTCTGAACAGTTCTGTTAAATCTGAAGAGCATTCCTTGGAAGCAAATGCAAAGGAACAATGAGAAGACCAAGCTTACATGTCACCGCAAGTCAAGAGCTCCTGGCAAGACACAGGTATTGATATTCAACTCTGTACCCCACAGTTACATACAATCAACTACATTTCAATAAAAAATCAGATACTGCACACAGGTATCAATATTCAACTCTGTACCCCACATATGTATACGATCACCTATGTTTCAATAAAAATAAATTAATTAAAAATAAAACAAACAAACAAAAATACTTAGCAAGGTTAGATCTCCTGGCAAGCACGATGAACACCAATTCTCTGAGGCCAGCAGGACTCTACTGAGTAAGCGAGAAACAAATACAATCTCTAGCCCGTCTAAAAGCACATTGTGCCCACATAAAGTAAAATAGCTCTAGAATTTCCTTAGTCAATTCCCTAATGAGCCTCCATGTCAGGAACTTCAAGTCTTCAAGGGAACCACAGCTTTACCAGGAATATAAGATTTGCTCACGAAAACAAAAACAAAGAAAAAAAAAAAAAACTATAGGACAAGCAGAAAAGACAGCACAGAAAAACCATAGGACAAGAAGAAAAGACAGCACAGAATAGACCCCAAATGGGGATTAAAACAGAGTAAACTTCCCTTTCTAATTGTCATCCACTCAAATCCCTAGCCCAGAAAAGCCTAAGGACATTTAGAGTTAAGGCAAACAGTTTATGTTCCACAAGAATCCTCAAGGCCCTCAATATATCATAACACAACCCAATTAATGTCATCTTTTGGGGGGTGATAGAAATGCTCTAAAATTAGATTGTAATGACGGCTGTACAACTCTGCAAATTTACTAAAAATCATTGAATAAACGTATTTTCTTTGTTTTATATTTTCTTAAAGGCTTCTAAATAAATAATACTAGAACCATCCTCTCAGTATCATCTTTGCAATCATAACTTAATACAAACGGATACACTTTTTTTCACATAAACCAGACAGACAATACCAGAGAAGAAAATATTCAATTTGAAAGCAATTTGCAAAGCAAAATATAATCTCAGTTTTGAAAGACCATCATTAAAAAGCTATTGATGGGGAACTGTTGGCGTACTTTCATGTGCTGTCAGGTAGCACAACTTTTGTGTGCAGTAATGAGCAAGAACGTACCTGGTCACAACAGCAGCGAACATCACAGGCCCCAGCTGTTAAATTACAAGGACAAGGACCAAGGGGCTGATATACTTGGTTAGGAATAACAGTCATGTTCTCTGAAAGGTACATAAAGAAAAGTTCAGCTATGAAACACCCTGATGTAACAGTGTCACATTTTTTACATTCAAAAGAAAACTGAATCATCATGTTGTATAAATCTCCATTACCAAATATTTCACATTAAGAAATCTCTGAAATGAGCTATACATAAAACATATCTGAGGACTTAATCTACTACTCCAACAAAAACCCAAATACATATAAGAAAACACGCTAATTATAATGAACCAAAGAAGTCACAGCTGATCCCAAAGAAAATCAATTGATTAATAAGTACAAGTTAGGACAAATGTAATGCACTGATTTTACTTTTCAGTATACTGAACAATCCTTTCATCACACATCCTGATATTAAGCATTTACTCCTTCCAACTCATTATGATCTTGTGGTTTGATAGAATGCAACTCATTCACTGAAGCCATGGTAACATTTCAGAAGCTTATCTGCAATCTGTCAAACCACAAGATCATATTTAATTATGCCACATGCTCAACCTCAAGTCTCTATTACAGTGTAAGTCCAACTCATCACATCATGATTCTCTTTCAGCTGTGAGGGAAATTAGCTCACCCCTTTTCAAGTGTTCAGTAGGCACACGTGGCTCGTGGTTGCTATCCCCAACAGTGCGTGTGGGACAAATGTGGACTGACTTCTAGGGCAGGGGAGGGACTGTGCTATGCACTGATGATACACTGAGACACAGCGGCTGCCCTTAAGGAATGCTCACTCTCACGGGGAGAAGAGACAGAGAAATAGATCATGTGACCACCATAATGGGGTAAACACCAAAATAGATTTTTTTTTTTTTTTTTTTAAAAAAGAACCGGGGAG